TGGGTGTGTGATTTTTGGGGGGCAGGCTGCTATGTGATCTGATGGTGAATTTGGGGTGGCCCAATGCAAAGATCCTGAGGATCCATGTGGATCCATGCTTTTTAACCACGTTTTTGCACCATTGCAGCCCCAGGCAACAGTGGGTGTGTGATTTTTGGGGGGCAGGCTGCTATGTGATCTGATGGTGAATTTGGGGTGGCCCAATGCAAAGATCCTGAGGATCCATGTGGATCCATGCTTTGTAACTACATTTTAAGTGGGGAGTGAAGGAAAAACACAGAAGGGACAAGAGAGCGGTGTGCAGAGAAGCAGCTGGCTAAGAAAGCAGGAGAGAGATTTTACGGGAGGGAGGAAAGAAAGGCAAAAGTTTCCACAAACCGAAGCCAGCTTTCTCTCTCCTCCTGCATGTTTTCTGGCTGCCTGCGAGGAGCACGGAGAGGAATTAGAAGGAAAGACCTCTGCTTTCCCCTCTGCTTGCCTGGAGGGGAGGGGATTTGCCTGCTCTTTGTTCCGTTTGAGCAAACACAGCAACGAAACAGAGGAGGGTGGGCAGTAAGACCCTGAGGCAGAATGCAGGAAAGCAACCACTTCCTCTTTTCAGGTTTCCCTCTCCGACACAACGCACGGTTGATTTTTGCTGATTTTTGTTCCTGCGCTCCCCTAATCGGCTCCAGGGACACCCCCCCCCCAACATTCGCTCCATAACACGCACAGACATTTCCCCTTCCTTTTTAGGAGAAAAAATCTGCGTGTAATAGAGAGAAAAATACGGTATATGTCAGTGGCAGAGCTGGTTATTTGGAACTTGAGATCAAGGGAGAATTTTGTATGGGGAGGATTTTGTAAGCATTTTACTATAAATATGTTAAAACACTGAAAAATCAAATAAATGAGACTACAGAACGGATGGCTAAATTTTACAGAAGAGAGACTCACTTACTTTTATAGAAGTTTTCAGTGGAAGGTCTTGGGGCCAAACCTCTCTCCCTACCTCCACTTGCCAAGACAAAAAGGGGTGAAGGGAATAGTTCCTGTGATAAGAGGACTTGCTTGTGGTCAATTGGGGGGCTTGATTTTGTTGCTCTGGACTGTCATCCCATCCTTGGTGCCTGTATATTAAACTGCTTCATTGCCTTGGGCTTTATTATTGCTGCTATGATGATGATGATGTTTGCTGTATGATGAATACAGCTGTCAAGAATTGATCCCCTTTTGTAAAGAAGTCATGGTTAAGGGTTTTCTTGGGTCTGTAGCCCAAATGTAACTTAAAAGCTCACATACTGTTAGTCACAGTGTCCCCTGAATCATACAACTCTTGTTTCCATCAGTTATGAAACTTTGATTTAAGGCAGAGTTTAACAAGTTATGGCAATCATAACAGAAAGTTGAAAAAGGAAAGAAGCTCAATCTGCTCCTGAAATGTATTTAACTCTTTCTGATGCAGCCTTTACCAACCGGCTGGGCTGGCTGGAGTTACAGTCCAGAACATCTGGAGGGTGTCAGGTTGACAAAGGCTGAGGCATGAGCAGCTGGATGTTTCACCGAAACATGACAGGGAATAAAGCAGCACAACATGCAACTCGTCTGTCAGATACAGTTAACTGAAGCAACCTGCTATAATGCATTTTAAGACTGTTTTTCTTTGTCCCAGGTGAATACACTACCTTTCTAATGTTCAGCAATGAATTTTTCTGTTGCAAACAATCATCTGAGGCAACACGATGACCAGGATTTTGTTGACTTCACCCAGGGATCTGTCGTAACAAGAAAAGGGGATGGCCTTACCATGATCTCCATCATTGTTGCTGTATTTGTCCTCTTGGCGATTATAATCATTGTGACTGTACATTATGGTCCAAAACTACGTACTGTCCAAATCACTCTGTACCATGAGCCCATGCCCCAAGACATGGATAATGGAGTCCAATTAAAAGACTGGAAGAAACTTGGTTCCCACAGAAAAAGCAGCATGCAATCTGCTCTGACATTGGAGAACAGCAATGCTTCTGGTCTGAACACTCAGTGTGAAAGTGGAGAGCAAAATGTTATAGAGATTACTTACTTGTGAAAAGGCCTCTGGTGTTTCCTGGCAGCCCCCAGGGAGTTTCATCTGACATGGCAAAGCCCTGGTTGGTTTCTGGTGTACAGAGATAGGCAGTTGGCATGTTCCCTCCTGGCCTACTGGCCCATTGGCTCCCTTGTTTATTGGCGAATTTAGGTGATGGAACAAGAGGGACAACAGCTAAGGTGCAGAAAAGCTCAGGGTGAGCACTGGGGCCTCTTTGTGGCAGTGATAGCAATGAAGAAAAATTACTTATCTGCCCAATTCCAGGAATTCTTGGAAGGAAGGGATTATCTGGGCCCTTTCTATTCCAGTGGACATTCTGAACAGGTGCTGGGATGGGAGTTTGTAATAGTTTGATAGTAGAAAATAAAGTGAAGCTGAATCTGGACAATACTGTACTACCTTGAGAGTCTATACCCTAATTAGGCTTAGGCATTCTTATGTTGATACCTAATTCTCCATAGGATGTGACACTTAAACCAGCCTTCCTCAACCTGTTCCCTTCTGCTTGTGTGTCACCTGCATCCCTTCCTAAGCCACTTTTTGCTATGTTTTGATGCAACTCAAGTCAGCAGTGGGTAACCTACAGCATGTGCACCTAATTAGGTCTCCAAGGTCTCCCCATCTGGCGTGTAAGGTAGATTTTGGGGGGACGACGCTTACCTGTGCATCACCTGACATCATATGATAGCAGGTGTTGGAGTGGTGAAGCCATAGCACCAGACTCCAGTGCACTCCACAAATGCCCCCAATCCTTCCTTTCCAGCCACTGCTTATTTTGGTACATTTTTCTGTTGCCCGAGTGCTGAGAAAGAGGAGTACCAAATTTAAAAAGTGCCAAATTGAAGCTAGAAAAGACAAATCAGGGTCACACGCTCTGGATTTTTCCTTTGCAGCTGCAATTTGAATTCAAGCTGTGGCTGCAAAGGAAGAAAGACTCAGATGTGCACATCCACACCTGCAGTCCAAGTAATAGTATTTCATTGCATTATATACCAGGTTGGGGAAGGAGGAGACAGATTATGTCACTAAGGATATTAGAGAGATGTCTGAGATGATGTCAGTTGACAACTGCATATAGACTTTCTTTTGTACAGCCGGCAGGGTCAAAATGAAAATACATGTTCATGTAAAATATGGCTTGTTCCATTGGTAATACCTGCTGCTGTACTTTGGAGTTCCATATATCGATCTGTAATCAACACACAATTTCCACACCCAGTAAACTGATTGTCCTCTTGGTGATTGTTGTCATAGATATAGATGAATATAATGTATTGACTTACAATGTCCATAGTATTTCTTACCAGAGGTATCTGGAGACATTCTTTTCACTAGTTTCCAACCGAAAACAGCCTTGCAGTTATTGGTAAATTATTCACAAATATATAGTCTATTTCTTAAGCATTGAGAAGTGAGAGAAGTACAGTGTTGCCAGTGTTTCTATGTTATCCTGTGTTTTTCAGACTGGATTTGTGGTAAAAATTTTGCAAGTTCACTGTCTGCAGTGGCTTTTAACATACAATTCTCTGAAGCATCTCAAAGTACCGGTACATCCCTGCTTTTGTTCAGGGTGTTTTCAACCCAAGGCTTACATTATCTTCTTGTAGGAATGGATTTAGACACTAGGAGAGGATATATAGTTTAGTTATTATCCTTCCTTGCTCACGTTAGTGAGATCAGCAGGGCACCATCCTTTGCAGCTTGGAAGCTAAGACTAGGTGGATTTAACCTTCTAGAAACAATAATCCAGGATGCTTTAAGGCAGACTGGATTTTTCTTGGTATTACTCCATTTCTCCCTCTTAAAAACAACAATCACACACACATTGTTTTGTGAAGAAATAAAAGTAGTATTTACTTACACAGTCTAGGTCTTGAAGCAGCAGTTACAGCAGCAAAATGAAGGCAGGTTTAGAACTACTAACTAAGTTACAAAAGTACAAAAATGTAAGTTTCAAAAATGGTGTCTGAGCTGCCTAGACAGGAAGGAAGCATGTAGTATTACAGCTTCCTGCCAAGGCAGACAAAGGAAGTGATCTCACAGAATTTTCTCTAGCAAATATTACAAGAAAGCTCTAAACATGTCAAGTGGAGGAACAAAAACAGGAATAGAAACTGACACTGGGGCAATCTGAGAAAATATTCAAGGGGTAATTAAGAGGCTATTCATCACTCATTCCTCAACTGGAAACAACAGGAAGCCAGGGTAGGCTTTTATTCGTTGCCAGATATATTTGCTGAATTAAACTTACTTTGCAGCAAGCATTATAAAAGCGTCTTAGCCATGAGAAAGGGCACTGCCACATCTTAAAGCCACAAATGAAAGCATTTCCTCAGCCTATCTAGCCAGCAAACAGAGAGAAGAGAGGAAGCTGTTCTAATGGATACTACCAGCAGAAGAGGAGACTGGCCCTCTCTTCTCTATTCTGGTAGTTGTTCAGTTAGAAAGGCTCTCATTGGATTCTACCAGTAGAGACAAGAGAAGACAGCATTGATCACTGGTACTTTCACAAAGAACATGGTCCATGTAGAGGCAAAGCCACACAGACTCTCATCCTCTGGATTACTATTTTGGTAACCTTAATGATTCAAAATAATAATTGGTTGCTAGGAGAGAAACAAACTCTTTGGTTAAACAAACAAAACCTGGACATATCTTTTTAGTAGCTTTTAGGTATGAAGTCCTCACAGATTTCATGGTATCTTAGAAAAATAGGCCTTGATATTAAGTCAGGGGGAAGCTGTTTTCTTCTCTCATCACCTTTGTCCATAATATTTGGGACAACTTTGAAGAGGCAGAAGGGAGAAAGGCATCAAAGGAAGCCACACATTCATATGAAAGAACAATCCATAAATGTTTGTCTTATTCCAACATATCTCCATGCCCACAAAGTCTCAGAGGAGGCCCTGCCTCAATTTTTACCATCTTCATGCTTTCTAAAAGGGTTTTAGGTCTTGTTGGGGTCAGTCTGCATGTATTAAAATTTGGTACTATTAGGTTTCATCTGGAGGCAATCCTGATGATTTCCACAAGAAGAGCCATGGAGCTGTGAGATGGGGGCCATTATTTCAGTAGCCAGAACTATGCAAAGACATGGGATGATCAGTGCCACTAATCAGGAGCTCAGTCCCTTTTGATTCAGCGTTATGTATGCTGCCTTCATACTTTTCATCCATGGTATACTCCTCTTGGCGCTCCTGTTCCATGTGTCTTAGGATAGTCTTGGACAGGAAGTGCTTGTCATTTTCTTCTGAATCTGGGAAAACAAAACCAGTTGTGACTGCACTGGTCTTTTCATAGGAAAATGTGAAGCCCTGCAGCTAACTGCTAGAAGAGCACTCTCAGTTGCATCAGCTGTGTTATCTTTTCAAGTCTATCTATTACTACCCTGATTTGATTTGATTTTGCCTCAGAAACTTTAGGTAGAGTATGTGGTAAAGATCTATGTATCAAGAGCACCATCCTGGTGGAGCTGCAGGCCTTGAATTGCCAACTACACCAACAATCATTCCCAGGAGCTGCATAGATCTCTAAGGTGGATCTATAACATGATGAAGATCTCACAATACGCTTGCAGGAAGCCTGAGTACAGAACTCACATGTTAGAAAAGCCTCATTAATCTGCAGCTGGTGGTCTCAAAATTTTGTCACAGCACGCAATCCCTAATCCAGAAAACAATGATGTTGACTTCCGCCTGTGTGTTTCAAGTGCAATCTTTTCCACTCCTTTACAAAGTTAAAAACCAAAGTGCTAGAATGGTACATTATATTCATGCTTAATTTTTAACTGCCACTGCCTCAATGGAGGATATCCAACAAGGGGTCTTCCTTTCTATCTTGCCCAAACACTGTATAGGTTATTTCTTATCACATGGTTGAGAAATCCCTTGTGCACTTTCGTTTTGTCATAATATAGGTAAGCCTGCCATCCTTCCACTTAGTTGTTTTTTTTTGGAAATCACCAACAGATTCTCCTCATGCAGCTCTGTGCCACTTCAGGTTACGTTTCCTTTCTTATCCAATTATTTTCTTTAGTTGTCAAGTCTTTTTCTCAGGTTTCTGTAGTTCCCCCCCTTCAGTCTCGACCTGGGTCTTTGCTTCCAGGGGTGCTGCTGCTACTCGAGTCACGTCCAGGGCTTTCTGTCACGGAAGGAGTTTGGACCCCTTGTGCTCGGTTTCTACCCTCTCCGGCCCCTTTCCAAATTGTCAGGGGTCTGGTAGGGAGACCAGGCAGCACTGTGGGGTGCTTTTAGAGGCTCCGGTTTATCTCCAGAGCTTTTGGGGAGGTGTGGAGCCCACGCTTTACTCCTCTCTCCCTCTGCAGTAGCCTGATCTCGCTCAGAGCAAGCGCAATGAGCTGTGATCTCTTTGTGTGGTAGACCGGAAGTCTGAGTTTTTGATATATGTTATCTCATAAAAAAAGATGTCTTGTTCTTATTAAGGGAAATTCAAAAGGCAAAAATGAAATATGCCAGAATATACAGCTGAATATTTAAAAAACCTTTCATTACATACAGTAGATACATTCAAGGGGGCGGAGGTAAAGATAAAAGACCCCTGGATGGTTAAGTCCAGTCAAAGGTGACTATGGGGTTGCGGCACTCATCTCACTTTTCAGGCCAAGGGAGCCAGTGTTTGTCTACAGACAGCTTTCTGGATCATGTGGCCAGCATGACTAAACCACTTCTGGTGTGACGGAACACCATGACGGAAGCCAGAGCGCAAAGAAACGCAGCTTACCTTCCTGCTGCAGCAGTACCTATTTATCTACTTACAGTGGTGTGCTTTCAAACTGCTCGGTTGGTAGGTGCTGGGACAGAGCAATGGGAGCTCACCCCATCGCGGGGATTCAAACCGCCGACCTTCCGATCAGCAAGCCCAAGAGGCTCAGTGGTTTAGACCACAGCGCCACGCGCTCCTGAGATTCACGGAAAGCAGTAGCATTGAGTAGTGATTTTATCACTGTTTATGACTCACTGAGTAACTGCTCTAAGGGAATGTACATTTATTTGCAAAAGTATTCATGTATCTCACTAAAGCACAAGATTGTATGAAAATGTATCTATGTGGTACACAAAATCTTAATTAAAACCAAAACCACATAACAAATACCACTCCAATATCAAAGGTAGAAATTATATATTCTCTTTTCAGAAAATGAGCTTTCTCACTTGGTAATCAAAATTTTGATTACAAAAATGTTTTGCAGAATTCACCTGAGAAAACAAAGGTGAATCCATTCTGTGTGCAAGCCATCCCCACACATCTTCCTTATTAGGTGAGGCAAGACAGAGGGAGTTCAACTGGCTACAGGTACCCAGGACAAAGATCTCATGACCATAGTTCACTAAAAAATCAATTAGATTAAGATGCTTTCCAATGTGCTAGATCTTTAAGTGCATTTATATTCCTATAGCCTTGCTGCTGCACATTAAGCTCTCTGGATCTAGGCAGAAATCCAGCCTGAGATGAGAAGAGAATAATAAATCTATGACCTTCTAAAACCACAGGCAGAAGACATAAGAACAGAGAGGAAGCTCTTTCTGAGTTCCCAAAGCACACTGAGATCAGGTCTTTTCTGATGTAGAAAGAAAGGCTCTACCTGCCACAGGATCCCTTCTTGGAACTAAGTTTGTAGCCTCCTCCTTGCCCCCACCACTCCAAAACAAATAGCCAGACTGTCATCCCATTTCTTACCATCATATACAATGAGCCGGTAGCAGCCAGAACAATATTTAGATCTCTGTAAGATTTCTTCCAGTGCTCTGCAGAAAAGCTTGGCTTGTTCCAAACGGTCTTGACAGCTGAAGGCAGCACTTTCATCTTGGGACATGGCAAAGAGGGACCGCAGAGGAGTGGCATACTCCATAACACAAAAATGTTTCTAGAGGAATGGGGAGAAGGGCAATCCCAGTGTTATCAGGGTGGCATTTAGACTGTTGCTTGAGGAATTGCTGGTTGCTTTCACATCAGCACTAACATTCTCAGAAGTGTTACTTCATAATCTGTAAAAAGGTAAAGGACCCCTGATGGTTAGGTCCAGTCGCGGACGACTCTGGGGTTGCGGCGCTCATCTTGCTCTATAGGCCAAGGGAGCCGGCGTTTGTCCGCAGACAGCTTCCGGGTCATGTGGCCAGCATGACTAAGCCGCTTCTGGCGAACCAGAGCAGCACACAGAAACGCCGTTTACCTTCCAGCCAGAGCGGTACCTATTTATCTACTTGCACTTTAATGTGCTTTTGAACTGTTAGGTTGGCAGGAGCAGGGATCAAGCAATGGGAGCTCACCCCGTTGCGGGGATTCGAACCACTGACCTTCTGATCAGCAAGCCCTAGGCTCTGTGGTTTAGACCACAGTGCCACCCGTGTCGCTTCATAATCTGTACCAGAATCTAAAAACCTGCATAGGAGGTGAAGATGCCTTGGTCAACCTTCACTGGAAGATAACTATAGGGAGTGTGATCATGTCAGTTCTCCTAGACTTCTTTGTAGTTTTGGATACTAGCAACTATGCTCTGCTTCTGAACTGATTAGTTGGCTTGAGAGTGAGGACTCTATTTGGGGAATCCCACTCCTATCTGACTAGATGTCTCCAGAAGATGGTGCTGGAGGACGGAAGTGATGTCTAGAGAGAATTATTCTGAGGGATTCATGAAAAGTTTCATCTTGCCTCCCATGTTATTTATAATCTGCATATAACTAATGGCAGAAGTTGTTGAGTTTCAGGCAAACTTCCTTTTTAAAACATGATAAATTCAACACCTATTCTCACTCTAAGACATTTTTTAAGTACAGAAGCATACCTCTTTGTTTTCACTCAATATCCCATAGATACTATTTTTGTAGCTTCTTTTTTTAATGCCAGCAACATCCACGTTCAATTCTGGGAGATTCTTTATGAAGTGAATATGACTGTCAACCGTCTGCAGGTCATCACACATATCGCAGCTCAGGGGAATCAATATGTGCAATTTCCAAGTCTTCTCGCAATTCAGCAAATGGTTGTTGCTTCGGTTGAACTCTCTAATCCGATCTTTGAGGCCTTCAAAACAAAACCGCATTAAGGAAAGACAGCTGGATGGAGACAGTAAGATTACATTAGTACTTTAAGAAGCTCCTCACTTTCTCTATAGCCAGGGATGGGAATTTGCAGAGCATCTGTACACATGGAATGGAATTCTGTACTGTTTGTCAGATTCTCCCATTTTTGGCTACAAAGCCAAAAATTGGAGAATCTGACAAATGGTACAGAATTCCTACACTTGTGGGAAAACACAAGTATGCAGAAGTTCCTTGTATGAGTTCTATCTGCCTGAGCATATACTCATGACCAGTGCTTTTTCTTTTCCCTACTCATATTGAGGCCAAACCTAAGATTCACAAAATGTTTAGGGGGTTTGCGTACCCCCAGAAAAAGCACTGCTCAAGACACTGCACTCTACAGAAAACAGGCATTTTCTGCTGTTGCCTCTGTGCTGTGGACCACTCTTCCCTCTGCCCAACGCGAAGCTACAACCACCAGTTGTTTGTCTTGGGAAAGCTTCCCTTCACCCGTAAGATTGCGCCATGTTTCATGTGTTTGGAGTCCTCTGAATTTCTGTTTTTAAATAAATAAATAAAGCATGTGTATTGCACTGATTATCTGCAAAAGGCTTCAGTGCTTTTGGAATGAAGCTTCTGCGCTCTGTATGACTACACGCCCTTTCTTCCGAACCACATATCACTTTTCCAAAATACAATGATGCACACCACTTACCCAGATCTGTCTTCATATTCCACTCTTCTTTGTGTACAAGACGGGAGCCCCAGCTGATGAAGTAACTTGATCCCAGGGACAAAGCACCATGGTAACTGCTGAGTGATTTTATTCTGCTGAACCTTTTGGCATTTTTTCTATTTTTTGCTCTTCCATCGGATCAGAACAGGACATTGTATGGAGATTTGGAAATATAATAACTGCTACCTTAGACTTAGTAGCTAATGTAACTAACTGCTTTTGTGGCGGGAATCCACCATAATACCAAAATAAATAATAAAAATTCATGATATAACCTACTAGTGTATACACGTTGAATCTGAATTTCTTTGGTGCAGAATTCTGGACATTATAATTCATTTTACATCACTGGCTAATGGAGAAGGCCACTCACAATGGATACTCACCAGGCAAAATGAATTTTAAATACCCAACGTAATATGACCAGGCAAGTCCTTGTGCAACATTGCAGTTGTTTCTCTCATACATTTCAGAAATCTCAGCAGCTGATGGATGCTGCAGATGGAAAGGAAAAAGCTGTAATCATACGTTACCACGTGCAAAGCACAGCTCTCATCCCACCTCAATTGACTTCTGTTATAAAGCAGAACCCAGATCTGGGACAACAACTTGCTGCACAAGTATGAGCCATGATAAGATGCAGCGGGCCATACAAACACATGTTAAAAAGCCACTTCCCAACATTCTGCCACTCTAGTCACGTGACTACTCAGTTGTAGAGTGGACTCCTATTGAGATGGACCACCTTTAAGGTTCGGAGGCCTTGCAAAGATTGATAGGCTAAGACTTGCACCTAGGACAGGGCCCACATATTATAGGCTTCCTGAGAAGTGTAACTATATTCATTTATTAAATGTATCTACATTTAATACAGCTTTCCCACAAAGCTCAAAGCAGCTTACATGAAACAGCAGGGAATCAACTATTAAATGAATTAAAAGATTGCTTAATGACCCATGACTGCTACCTGAAGGTCAAAGACAAAGTTTAAAAGTTGGCAGAAGCACACAATGATCAGGTTCCGACACACTGGAAGGCCAGATTCTTTGAGGAGATGCAGATAGGCTACTCCACACAGCAGGAGAAACAGGAAAGAACGTTTGCGTAGCTCTAGGCAAGCATTCAGGGCCCTTAAGTAGCTCCCATGGTACCTATGGGAAAGAAATGGATGAGGTGATATAATGTGACGGAACACCACAAAGTGCCTTCCTTCCTGAGACCACTCTTTTGCACGGATGAGCCAAACATCCTATTACAACCTCCCTTGACCCCAAGTATTTCAGTATTCTGTGTGATTACTCTCCACACAATAAGCATTCTCAACTGAAAATCCTTGCAAACGGCAGGCAGGCATGCTACCACATCTGGTGTCAGAGTGTGGGGTACCTAATGTAATGGACCAGAAAACCAGTGCTCATCCATGGAGATGTAGACCCAGAGGACAGCACTGAAGTGAAAACAATGCGGCTTCAGAGGTGAAAGTGATGATCTGTCAGAACTGCGCTGAGTGATAAAAATGGTCTCTTCCTTGGAACTCTGTTGCAACCCAGTTTTATCACTCCAGGTGTTTGGTCCATATATAGAAGGGGGGGGGGAGAATTCCTGGATGCCAAGTTTGGGATAAGTACTTTTTGGTGAGAGAACCCCAGCAGAGATTTAAAGTGTGGGATTATAGGCTATTAGACTTTTTAAAATATGTGGCCTTCCAAGTGAGTTCTAAAATGTCCCCTTAAAAGTTCCTTAAAAGGTTTCCCTCTTTCCCCAGCATAGGAAAAGACCAGACATTTGGTAAGTTAAAAAATGGTTTACTTACAAACTCTTCAAAGGTCAGCTTCATGTGCTTCAAAGAAACTTGGCTTAGTTGCAAAGTGGTGAAAGTCGTGGGGGCGGGGAGAGATTTCAGTCAGAAGGGGGGGCGTTGTTCCAGCACCTTTTAAAATTAATTATCCCCCCCCCTTCTGCTTACCCAGTAAAGGAAGTCCCCAGACTGATTGATCTGCCCATTGGAGTCCCTTTCCTGTGATTCTGTGAAGGAAATCCCACCCACTCTTCCTTCCTGCCCAGTGCTCCTTTTGATTCAAAATGCTGCCTGGTGCCTGAGCGAACTGCTGCAGCTTGCACGGGTCAGCTGCCCGGCACTGGGGGTGCAGGAAGAGAAATGCCTCCTCGCACAATCTGGAGTACAGCTGCTGCCTTCCAACACTCCCTCTCTGTCCTGTGTCGCTTCCTCCTCTCCTGCGTCTGCTGCAGTTGGAAAGAGCAAGGGAGGGATGGAGCAGCCGTAGCAAGCAGCTCAGGCACCTGGGGCAGGCATGGGGCGGGGTGATCCAGGGCAGAGTGCACTGCTGGAACTGTCCCTCCCAGCGCCCTCCAGTTGGAGGGCCACTGAGCAGGGCGCAGTGTGCTTGGCTGGCCCAGCGTTGTCCACAAAAGCAGCACAGGGCCAGGGCCTGAACCGCCAGGTTCCTGCAGGGCACCTTGCAGCTGGTGGCTGAGAAGGCGGCGGTCAGACGTCAGCCCCATGCTGCCTTCACCTGCAGGTGCCCCATCCCCCACATCACTCCCAGGAGAGACCCGAGGCTTGGGTGTGCTGCAGGCGGGGTAGTTGCACCCCTTCCAGCCGCCCTCAGGCAGCCGGAGGCTGGGGAATGCAGCCGCCCAGCGCGCTGGGAGCTGAGCCCTGGGCCATGCTGATTTGGGGCTGAGCTTCTCATGTAGACTGGGAGGTGAACAATAGGCTTAGTTAACTATATCCTCCCAAGGTATGGGAAGTGGACATAGCTAAGCCTGCCAAGACAGCTTACTCTATGGCTTTAACCCCTTCATTAAGCAGGTTACATGAGGCTGGTAATCCCACACCATAGTCTACTAGGTATCCAAGTTCTCATGGGTCTGATGTGGTTCAAACTACCAGAGAGAAAATACTTTAGCGTGAGAAGGCAGGATTCACCTTCGGAGTACCCTCAGTGCAATGAGTACTTCCACTTGCACAACTGGGCTCTCCCTCCTTCCCTGGGCCGCCTGGTGCCTCTAAAATCAGGAGGACCCCCCAAACAAGCGCACAAGGGGAGGGGAGGAGGAATCTGGTAAGCTGCAACGCTTGGGGGCGAGGCCAAATTCAGCATCCTAAAACTAAAAGCAATATATGTCTCACTATCCATCCTCTTATATATTCAGCTTCCCCCTGCCTTTCTTCCTTATCAGATCTTTGCTGCTACCAAGCAAGGACCAAGCCTCATTGGGTGAGTCTTCACCTCAAGGCTTATCATGCCTCCATTTCTCTTTTGTCTGTCCTGCTACTGCCAATCAGCTGGCTTTTGGTGTGCTTGAACAACAACTGTCATCCCCACACCAACCATCAGTATGTCCCATTATTTCCGCAGCTTTATCACCTGGATGTCACATGACGCAGCTCTTCTGCGAAGTTGCAGGCCCCCTGACACAGTGCTCCAACCTGCAGGGCTGTGAAATGGATGACAATGCAATGGAAGACAAGGTCTAGGCTCTGCTCAGTGAGGCACAGGAAACAGACACACAGGGCAAGGAAGAGGTAGCTCACATGGCGAGCTCGATTTCCCCGAGGTCTGGGGATAAGAGAGGCAGATATGTCGCTAGGTTGTTCCTCCTTACAAGGCATCACACCTGCAACACATACAAAAGCACAAATTGGCCTTCTTATCAAGTGGATGCTCAGCGGACAGCTCCCATCTCTAGCTCCTCAAAGTGAGATAACCAAGTAAATAGCCTAGAGCAGTGGTTCTCAACCAGTGTGTTGTGGCACCCTGGGGTGCCTTGAATGATGGTCAGGGGTGCTGTGGGCATAACTGGCCTCTGTCCCTCTTTCCTTCCCTCCCTTCTCTGGTGCCCTCTCACTTCTCTTCCTCCCAAAGGGTTGCACGACTGTTTGTTGCAGCAGCTTGCCCTGGCTACAAGCTCAGCAGCTGAATGGTGCCTCTGGGGCTGGCCAGGGGGTGCTTCCCAGGCCCCTGTGGGGCAGTGTGAGGAGGCACATTTCTTTGGGGCAGGGGGCGCAGCTCAGAGACCAGGAGCAGCAGCTGCGGCTGCCCAGAGGACTCCCACGGAGAGGGGAGAGGAGGCTGAGGGAACACTTCACAAGGGAGGGTCTTTGAAAAAAAGGTGAGAGGCTGCCAGCTCTGCAAGTAAGGGATGACGTAACTGGGCCCCTGAGCCCCGCAGGGGTGCCACAGACAGAATGCAGTTTGTCAAGGGAGCCGTGGACCCAAAAAGGTTGAAAACCTCTGGCCAAGAGATTCTGAGCCAGAAATATGTTCCTCAAACGCTGGAGTAACCGCTCAGTGGAAGAATCACAAGTCGTTCCCCTTCCCTTTCTTAACAATGCAGCAGGGCTAGGAGGGCAATAATGGGCTAGCCAGGGCCCATCTGCTCTTGGGGTTGGTTCTCTTCATCCTGCTGTCTTTTCCCCAGCTCTGCTTCTTAGTTCCTTATCCTTCTGAAACCCTCCTGCTCCCGCTTATTAGGGACAGCTGAAACCGCCACCAGAAGTACTGCATAAAGTGGACTTCAGGTGTGAATCTAATGTTGAATTTGAAGGTCCAATAGAATTTACTTATAAGTGTACGGCATAGGCAAGATTTGGGAGATCATAGGTAACCCCCCCCCCGAAGACATTATGGGAGGCCAGCTTTTGTTTGGGGGACCAGCTTCTGCTGGGTGGTGGCGGTGGCAGAACCTGTTAATTGAATATTTTCAATGCCACACTTTTAATATTTTGCGGGGGAAGTACCCTTCAGTACCCCCACAAAGAAGCACTGGTTGTGGCTTGTTTCCGCTGATGTTTCGGGTATATCTGTTGTTCCCTCCCCGCCCCACCTGAGCTCATTTGGCATAGAATTTGGTATCTGTTTTCCTTGATAAGGCTTTCCCCTTATGCAGGGCCTTGCTCTGATGCTGAGTTGGTAGATTGCCTGCTGTGGATTAATGGACGTATGGTTGGAGATGGCTTGCTGTAAATGTACATTTTGCTACATTTTAATTTTTCTGATTATATTTTACTGTTGTTGTTTTTTGTTTATTTTTACTGTTTCTGTAGCCTGCCCTGGGACAATGTAATTTAAGGATGCAATATAAGTGCAATAAATATTATGATGACATTCATAAACAAGTGTGATTGCCTCTAACAGTAAAGTCTCGCCCCAAATAGGACTGTTTTGTTTGAATGATTCATTGACTTGAAAGCAGAGGTTCTGTATGTTCTATTGTTACCCAAGGAATTGTTAATAAAAGCATTATTAAAAATAAAATACAATAAAGTGCCACCAGAAAAGCAAATAGATAGATAGATAGATAGATAGATAGATAGATAGATAAATGTGATAATAAGTTTGTTTGTTTGTTTAAAAGTATACACTGCTTGACTGTAAAAAAGTCCAAGCAGTTTACAAAAGATAAAACATTAAAACCAGAAATATTCACAGCCCTACTTTAAAACATACAAAAGTTAAAATACTAAAATAGATTAAAATCACCTCAACTTTCTAAGCATCTGGATAGGTTGGTCTAAACAGGAATGTTTTTAGCATAATAATAATAATCCATAATAATAACAATAATACAGTAATGACTTGCCTCCTGCACTGCTATTTCATTCACACAGCAGACTTTCACTTTCACACTGGAACTTTCCTCTCCCTGCAGCCCCCACCTCCACCCCAAAATCTGCTCTAGGGGGTTGGGGGATCCTTCAGAGCTGATTTTGGGAACATAGATGATGAGGAAAAGAGGCAGAAGTCCTGCTGCACAAGCAGAAATCCATCCCTGCAGCATCTGATACAGCCGAATAATATTGGTGGCATTGGCCTTTCTCCAAACCCAGCTACTCCTAAATAGAAATATTGCCTAAATAGAAATATTGCCATTTCAGCAGCAAGTTAACTGGCAGCCTCCCTGTAAGCAGATCTGCTTGAAAGGCTGGGCTCCATCAGCCCATGCTTCTAGGCTGGAACCTGAAAGCAGCTTTTGGTTTCATTAGTTTTACTCAGGAGAAATGTTCAGCTCATTTTGCAGCCCAGAACCAACACTAGCAAATAATCAGTAGCCATTCTCCCCTGCCCAGAAGAGGTGGGAACTCCATTCAGCCACACTCACCAGTCTGTTGAAGCAGCGTTGTGAGGAGGGTCTCACTTCCTGATGTTTCAGTCTGCTTCTCTTCTGCGGCTGTGGGTGGGTACTGGGCTTTGTTTTTTTTACAAAATTGCAGCTGAGGCAATTTGAGGTAGGAAAAGAGCTCTGATTCATCAGCTGAGAAATGTACGAATCAGTAAGAAGACACAAAAATGAGGAAGGGTGGGGTTTGTTGTAATGAATAATTTTATTTGAAGAGAATGGTTTTGACGATAATGAAAGTAAAACTAGCAAATGGAACTTGTCCAATCCCAGTGCCTCATCATAAGAACTCCAGAAATGAGAGGTCTAGCTAACTGCATTGTGCTCCCTCATCAAAAAGACTAGATGTACTAGCAGATGTACAAAAAGACTAGATGTCCTTAGATGTACAAAAAGACTAGATGTCCTTAAAAAGACTAGATGTACTAGCAAGGCCTGTTCAGTCCACCCTACACTGTGCTCATTTATTTATTTATTTAAATAATTTTTATTAAGTTTTCAATAAAAAGGTAAAGGACCCCTGACCGTTAAGTCCATTTGCAGATGACTCTGGGGTTGCGGCACTCATCTTGCTTTATTGGCCAAGGGAGCCAACATTTGTCCGCAGACAGTTTTTCTGGGTTGTGTGGCCAGCATGACAAAGCCGCTTCTGGCGAACCAGAGCAGTGCACGGAAACGCTGTTTACCTTCCTGCCGGAGCGATACCTATTTATCTACTTGCAATTTTTTGGCGTGCTTTCGAACTGCTAGGTTGGCAGGAGCTGGGACTGAGCAACGGGAGCTCACCCCGTCGCAGGGATTCAAACCACAGACCTTTTGATCAAGCAACCCAAGGCTCAGTGGTTTAGACCACAGTGCCACCTGCATCCCTACAAGTTTTCAATATAACCATTCAAATCAGTTTTCCACTTTTACATTAATCAAAAATTATTTACTCTGTTGAATTTATCTTAGTGCTGGTAGTGTTTTCAGCTGTATACAGTACAGCTATTTCCCATATATTCAATAAATGTTTTCTACTCTTCTTTAAATATTGGTTCTTCTTCCTCTCTAATTCTATGTGTTAAATCTGCAAGTCCTGCATATTCTGTCAACTTAAGTTGTCAATCCTCTTTCGTTGGGAGGATTGCATATTTATGCATGCAACAATTGCGGCCCCAAAATGGAAACGGAGCGAGGTCCCAACACCCTGTGCTCTTTTAGACCTGCAGGACAGAGTGGGGAAGCACAGCTGCAGCCCTCCCACCTGGAAGGCCAGCCTGCCATCTTGGAGTGCCTAGAACTGTAAAGCAGGGTTCCCTTGGGAAAATACTTTGTTGCCAATAGAGTCATAAGTTACATTCTACTGCACCATGAGTTCTCCAGTATACGTAGTGCAGAAACCAACTGCTATTGACTAGTTCATAGCTATTTTTAAAATGTTTATTCCATTGATAGGCCAACTTTAAAGTAGTAAAAAAGAAATTCTGAGGCAGGTATATGTTGCCTAGGTTACTTGTACACGATGCATGTAAAGCACATTGAAAGCAGAGTATTTCCCCAAAGAATCCTGGGAAGTGGTTTGTTAAAGGTGCTGAAAATTGTAGCTCTGTGAGGGGTAAACTATAGTTCTAGGATTCTTCGAGTGCTTTCAATGTACAGTGTGGACTCACGTCTAGTCCTCTCTCCTTCTCAGGTTCTGGGGAAGTTAACCCACCCGTCATGGCAAGGGATCCCAGGGTGGGTTACAATAACTCAATTTGAAAATAATATCCATCGGTACAATAATTTAAAAATAACATCTGTCAGCACAGTATTATAAGAACCTATAAAGGCACAATGAGACTACCTTTTAAAACTACTAAAACCATTATATCCCACATCTTAGAATCAACAGCTAGCCTCATACAAATGCCTGAGCAAATATACAGGTTTTGCTTGGTGCTGGAATGTAGAGAGAAAGTGTCACCTGTACCTCAGAAGGAAGGTGAGAGAAGGCATCAGAGGCCATTCTGTCACGGAAACAAGTATTTTCATTTGTTGGTCCTTGATCCCCTGCCAATCAATTTAATTGAGTGAATGTCAAATCTAGTTTATGGAAAGAGTGAGAGAGAAAAAGATATCTCTGCCCGCATCATTCAGAAATGTATAAACCTCTGTTATGCCGCCTGGTTTCTGTTGCACTAGTACAGAAACCTTCAGTCTCAAATCCATATAAGACAACTACACAATCTAGCATTTTGTAGATTTATATTGTTACTCTCATTCTAATCTTATTTTCTTATATATGCTTAGTTTCCTGTTTATTGTTTGTTTACTATTCGATAAATATATTTATTGCAAAATATATTCTTTCATGAGCCAGCCTGCTGAGTTGAGACCACTATAAGGCTCCCAAAAGTGGTGTTCTGGGGGGGAGGACCAGAGAGGGACTTTGGCTGGATCGTAAGCTTGTTCAGTAAGCTTACGTTCAGCTTGGAGTACTGTGTCCAGTTCTGGGCACCACAGTTCAAGAAGGA